GGGAACACACTCACGCGTCAACCGTGTGGATTACGGATTCCCCCGCACACGAGGGGGTGACACTTGACCTCAACGTCAGTGATTCCTCTCGTCAACTTTACTTAAACAGGAATTTCGACCTGTGTGGAAAGTGTACTGGAAAGAGGAGGGTGTGTACTTGCTAGCATGCGGCGCCTCTATCGTCAGTCGTTGAAGCAATAGACTGGAATTAGAGGGGATTTAACATAGTTCCACGGGGAAGGGTTCCGCGTTCCTTCTTCCCAGTCACTCCGTTCTCGCTCAAGTGCTGCCCAGCTACATTTATCTGGGCTCCATCCACATGGATCTGCCAATTCGGCACAACCATGCATCTGCCCCACACTCATCGTTTCACAGATTTCACCAGTCGAAGAGCTGATCATCACATCAGAGTAGTGGGCATTCAAGGACCAGTGCTGTGGCATTGCCTCGTACTCCCATTAGATCAATCCCCAGTGGTATTCCTCAACTTCCGATTGAAACACGAGATCACCCTATTGACAACCAGTCAAACAATTAAAGAGGAGTCCACAAGTAGGCAAGCAAAATGTCGAGGAGTGCATCAGTCAAAATATCAATCAATTAGCCATTTAGACAGGCAGGAAAATCATGAGGCGATCAGTTTGTCAAAAAATTGTGGCGCAAAGCATGATTGAGTCGTGACGTGAGTGCAGAAAAGTGTACCAGCAGTTGAATGGCAAAGGAAAGAAGAAGAGCACAAATGGGGCAGCGTTTTGCTCCACTGGCGGTGGTTTCCACAACACGACGTTGATGTCACTGATGCACTTCAACGCTGTCACCTCTTCCAACACACGTGAATTGGAGTAGAGCGAAGAACATCACCTACCACGAAACGAGTGGGATGTTTGTCTCCTCATACGCCTGTCCTTTCTCCTCCCAACCCCACATCACTGCCACTTGGACATAACGAACTCAACAGCGTCTTCACATCCTCTAAATGCGTCGTCATAGGTGGTGAATGCAAAGCATCTGTGGAGTGGAGTGGAGATGGCGGTTCATTGCTGGCTCACTGTGTTTGCCACCTGCATTTTGGTGACTGGATGCAGAGGAGACCGTGGTGAGATGCCTTCTAACATTCCACTCTGATCAGCATACATGCAGAAGCATTTCACATATATCAACACTTGCTGCATCGGAGAACTTCTTGCATTCCTCTGCCGCTCCACCTTCAACCATCATGCGACCATTTCCATTCAAGTGACAAATTTGTGCATTTGATTGGCAACAGTTCTCTACTAGTGAAGGAATCATAGTTGTTGTGCATTGAAAATGGATAGTCGGTGAGTGATGCATTGCCTTCAAAATACAAGCCTGTAGTGGCCGAGATATTCCACACGAATAAAACAGTCGACAATTTGCACTAACCCACGCTAAGTTGAAGCAAGGACTACAGCCACGCAAACGACGACAATTTCAAAAGTTGCCAAAGTCAAAGCAGATCCGCCAGTCGACACAGTGGTACCCTCCTCCCTTCTACGTACCAAATTAAGGCTGCCTAACTGTAAAGGTCAAGCCAAATTGCGCGATCACTTCGCAGAAATTGCAGCACCACCCACAGGTGACCTACTGCATGGGATTATGATGCGCAATTCCACTTCGATGGGTACTTCCCACTAACTCATCTTCCTCCTGACACCTCTACCCTGCTTTACGAGCACACATTGAGCTACCTACTACATGACAGTTGCTGATGCTCGATTCTACATTATTTACAGTTGAGCAGCCTCAATTTGTTGCGTTACTTTCTCTGCAAAGTGTTTTTAACTGAGGGGAGGAAGATAGCGCCGTCTCGACTGACGCATCTGCCCTCACTTCGGCAACTTTTGCATTTGTCTTCGTCCGCATGGTCGCAGTCTTTGCCAGAAATTTTGCACGAGCCGGTGCAAAGTGCTGACCCAGCAAAACTTTTTCCAATGCGGACCCCACAATGCTGGAAATGCATCAGTCGCAACTCATTCCTAATCACATACATGCACCTGCTCACCTGTGGGTGGTGTTGCAACTTCTACTGTCTATCTCAAGAAGTTGTCTTGACTGGTAATAATTCCCAGTGTGACATCCAATGATTTTCTGGGATGCAGTCCATCCAGTGTGATTACTCCTTGTGAGATATTTGCAATTTCCTGATTTCCGTAGCAACATAAATCAGCTGCCACCGCTGTTAGTACGATTTGATCCGCGAAGCTATAACCTTATCTACGAGTGTCCCAACGTATCTCGAAGTTGCGACAAGCCGCTGCACCCCATTCGAAGGATGGTGGAAGTGGGGACAACTTTGTCCTTTCCTCCTTTGACATCGTCACTTCTGAAAAAAAAAACTGTTTGGAAATGACGAAGTTAGGAAAAGATGCTCCAGCCACGTCCATTTAATCAGTCACGACCCCACCTACATCCTCCCAGCCCTTCCATACATCATGACAACTCGTCTCCTATAAATCAATCACTTTGCTTGAAGAAACGTACAACCAATCAACGTTACTAAATGAAGAACGAAATTTCATTACAACCACGACTTTGCAAAACAAAGGCATTACCATAATAATCGGTCTCATGACACATTGCTTGGGGTATGGGCTCGGGTAACTCACCTTTACCCACTAAACACACAACAAAAGACACCAGACAGACAACAAAGTGCTTTGCAATGCTGTTGCATAAGATCTTACACTTCCTACACGGCAGACAGATGCTTCATCAGCAAAATAGCGCTCTGATGCTGCTTTAA